CTTTCTTTCTTTCTTTCTTTCTTTCTTTCTTTCTTTCTTTCTTTCTTTCTTCCTTTCTTTCCTTCTTTCTTATTATGGTTTATTCACCTTGTATCCCAGCTGTGCCACCTCCATCATCCCCTCCCAATCCCACCCTCCCTCCGTTATCTCCTCCCATGCCCCTCCCCAAGTTCACTGATAGGGGAGGTCCTCCTCCCCTTCCCTATGATCCTAGCCTATCAGGTCTCATCAGGGCTGGATGCATTGTCTTCCTCTGTGGCCTGGTAAAACTGTTTCCCCCTCACGGGGAGGTGATCAAAGAGCCAGACACTGAGCTCATGTCAGTCCCTGTTCCCATTACTAGGGAACACACTTGGACTGAGCTGCCATGGGCTGCATCTGAGCAAGAGTTCTAGGTTATCTCCATGCATGGTCCATGGTTGGAGTATCAGTCTGAGAAAAGACATCTGGACCCAGAAGATTTGGTTCTGTTTCTCTCCTTTTGGAGCTCCTGTCCCCTCCAGGTCTTTCTATCTCCCCTTTCTTTCATAAGATTTCCTCCACTCTGCCCAAAGTTTGGCTATAGTCTCAGCATCTGCTTTGATACCCTGCTGGGTTGAGTTTTTCAGAGATCCTCTGTGGTAGGCTCCTGTCCTTTTCCCTGTTTTCTCTCTCTTCCAATGTCTAGCCCATTTACCTTTCTGAGTAAGGATTAAGCATCTTACTCAGGGTACTCCTTGCTTAGCTTCTTTAGATGTACAGAATAATTATACTATATCATATGTCTCATATCCACTTATAAGTGAGTATATACCATGTGTGTCTTCCTGCTTCTGAGTAACCTCACTCAGGATGATCTTTTCTAGTTCCCACCAATTGTTTGAAAATTTCATGATTTTCTTGTTTTTAATTGCTGAGTAGTATTGCATTGTTGTAAATGCACCACAATTTCTGTATTCATTCCTCTATTGAGGGACATCTGGGTTGTTTCCAGCTTCTGGCTATTACAAATAAAGCTGCTATGAACATGTTTGAGCATATCCTTGTTTTATACTTGAGCATCTTTTGGATATATGCCTAGGAGTGGTATGGCTGGATCTTGAGGTAGCACTATTCTTAGAGTGTTTCTATACCTTACCATCACCAAATTAAGTAGTTGATGGAATCTTTGAATGAATACACTTGCAATGCTAAGTATAAGAGGAACAAATGAATCTCTCAGAGAAATAGCCATACAAATACAGACAGTTAAAGAGGAAATGAACAAATCTCTCAAAGAATTGGCTATCCAGGTGGAGACAAAGAAAGAAGAAATGAATAAAACTCTTAAAGAAACACAGACAAATATAGCCAAACAAATCTAGATACTAGTAGAGACACAATTAGTGGCATATAGAGAGGAAACAAAGAAAAAAAAATAGAGGCCATCCTACAGAGAAAGGAAGCCACATTCAAACAGATGAAGGAAATGGTGCAAGGCATAAAGTCAGAATTAGAATCAATAAAGAAAACAGAAGAGGAATGTTTGAATAAAACATTGTTTCTTCTAGAATTTTTTAAGTTAAAATGAAAACTATTATTATTTATTATGCATGAATATTGTAACATAGTTCTGACGTTTATATAATGATTTCAGTTGTTAAAACATCAAATTATTTATTAGTGAGTACGATGTAAATGTAAGAGGATACGTTTTTTTTAATTCAACTTTTATTAAAAATAAAAGAGTGCATTTTCTTAAAAGACAGTGAGACTCTTGAATCACTTACAGAATACAAAACATGTACTTTATTTATTTTTGAGAGGACAGGAGCTCCACATGGAGAACAACAGAACCAAATATCTGAGCACAGAGGTCTTTCCTGAGACTGCTACTCCAACCAAGTACCATGCATGGAGCTAGCCTAGAACCCCTGCACAGATGTAGCCCAAGGCAGTTCAGTCTCCATAGTAATGGGAACAGGGACTGTTTTTGACATGAACTGATTGGCCTGCTCTTTGGTCGCCTCCCCCTGCATGGGGAGCAGCCTTACCAGGTCACAGAGGAAGGCAATGCATCCATTCCTGATGAGACTTAATAGACTAGGATCAGAAGGAAGGAAAAAAAGACCTCCCATATCAATGGACTTGGGGAAGGGCATTCATGGAGAAGGGAGAAGATAGGAGGGATTGGGAGGGGAGGAGGGAGGGAACTACAAGGGGGATACAAAGTGAATAAAGTGTAATTAATAAAAAATTAGAAAAAAAAAGAATTTTTTAGCTTAGAAATTTCTTTCTTATTTTTTTATTCACTTTACATCCTTGTTGTAGTTCCATCCCTCCTCCCCTCCCAGTCCTACTCTCCCTTCCTTGCCCTCCCCTATTCCTGAGAAAAGGGGAACTCCCTTTTCCATCCACCTCAGCTCATCTAAACGTATCAGGACTGAGCTTGTCCTCTTCCCCTGTGGCCTAGCAAGGCAGTCCTGCCAGGGGAAAGTGTTCAAAAAGTTGGCAAATGAGTCTGTGTCCAATACAGTCCCCACTTCCCTTACTAGAGGACCCACATGAAGCCGAAGTTTCCTATCTGCTACATCTTTGTCGGGGGCCTAAGTCCAGTTCCTGCATGGTCCTTGGTTGATGCTTCAGTTTCAGCAAGCGCCTCTGGGTCCTGTTTAGTTGGTCCTGTTGGTCTCATGGAGTTCCTGTCATCTCCAGGTCCCTTTCTCTTTCCTACCACTTTTCACAAGATGTCCTACACATTCCTCAAATGCATGCCTAAAGTCTAAGAAAACCTAGATAACCCCTCAGTCATTTCCACTGGTCTTTCTACCATGTGAGTCTAAGTTCTATTTATCTACCAAGACAAAACTTTACAGTTGGGGTAGAAATTTTTCAAAATGCAAGTAATAATCCCATCTAGGTTCAAAACTGTCTGGAATTCAAAAGTTATTTTGAAAGATAGTACAATATATTTTACAAAGATGTACAATGAAATGGAGTAACATTGAAATTTTAAGTTGGTTTCTGCTTCCAACCTGGAAAAGACTATTTTCAGCTTCAACCCCAAGTTTTTTTATTTGGAGAAAAGACAAACATAAGCATTTGGTATATGGTAAAGTTTCAATATACATTATAATCTATATTTAACCAAGTTTATACTCTTAGAGATTATTTTTCAATAAAATTCTTAGAATACACTATATGTTATTGCTTAATCTTCTCTATGTTCCTAAACTGATATGCAAAGTGTTTCAAAGTGCCTCTAGACAGTTGTAGCAAAGACAAGGTTGAAAGGTAGAACTTGTATGCTTATATTTATTTACTTCTTATTTTGAAAAAAATCCATTTATATTTAGAATCAATCATATAGGCTAATCATTTTTAGCTTTTCATTACAATTTTTTATTTATTTTTGCATAGTGAATCACATCTATTAATTTTTAGGAGGCTAATAATTAAGCCTTGCTTTAGGAATAGTCTAGTTTTTCTCAAAATTAAATGTTCAGTCATTTAAAAATAATATTTGAAAAACATTTGTTTGTGTCTCTGTTATGCATTTTACCATGTATCTTTAATTTTTTTCTAACATGAAAATGTCAGATTATGTTCTACATTCTAAAATGCATTTTTTCTTATTCGTTGTAGGTTTTATTGGGACTTAATAATGCTTATAATGATGGTTGGCAATTTGGTCATCATACCAGTTGGAATCACATTCTTTACAGAACAAACAACCACACCGTGGATTATTTTCAATGTGGCATCAGATACCGTTTTCCTGTTGGACCTAATCATGAATTTTAGGACTGGGACTGTCAATGAAGACAGCTCTGAAATCATCCTGGACCCTAAAGTTATCAAGATGAACTATTTAAAAAGCTGGTTTGTGGTAGACTTCATCTCATCAATCCCAGTGGATTATATCTTCCTTATTGTAGAGAAAGGGATGGACTCGGAAGTTTACAAGACAGCCAGAGCACTTCGAATTGTGAGATTTACAAAAATTCTCAGTCTCCTGCGTTTATTACGCCTTTCAAGGTTAATTAGATACATACATCAGTGGGAAGAGGTAGGTCACTTTTTTCTTTCTTAAAGCCATTGTATCGTGATTTTTTTTTTCAGTATGACTATTTGGATATGTAGGTGTAATGTTTAATGAGTTGTTTGAAATTTAAGAACAAATCATTTGCAGAATTCTCTTCTCTGATATTTAAGTGAGAAGAGATATTTTGGAGATATTTATATCTCCAAAAGATTTGAGCCAACTGAAAATAATTATAAAGCCTCTACCAATTCAATGTATTTTAAGCAAATACACTTTAACTGACATATTGCTATCTTAGTCACTGCAGCTTGTCTAATGCCTTGGAAGATTCTTTTTATTTCCTAAAAATGCATCAGATTTCATCTTTGATGAAGATGTGTAGGGTATATATGCTAATCTAATATATCCTCTTGTATAAAAGGTGGCAGTATATGCTTCTAATAATATTGGAATTTCAGTGACTTTACATTTGAGGAAAATGTAAAGTGTCTCCTTGGTTATGTCTAATTTCAGAGTGGAATTCAGCATACTGAATTTGCTTATTGTTTTGTCTTCCTACAGTTATTTATTATATTTTCCACCAATTAGTTCATTTCATAATAGTGAAAAACCAGCATGCCTAAGAAGGGAAAAACAACACGGCAGACACAAAGGAAGAAATGGAGTGACTTTAGCCAATCATCCTCATTTCTGCTGAATGGGGCTTCTGCTGTTCTTAGACAGTGGGTGGTATGGTGAAAGAGCAGCGCTGCAAAGTGAAGTCTCCAAAGGTCTCAGTACCTCTTTCCACAGCTAGTATATTTTTTTTTCTTTCTTTTATTTAATTTTTGATTGTTACAATTTATCCACTTTGTATCCCAGATGTAACCCCCTCCCTCATCCCCTCTCAATCCCCTCTTCCCTCCCTAATTTCCCCCCTTGCCCCTCCTTCAGTCCACTGATAAGGGAGGTCCTCCTCCCCTTCCCTCTGACCCTAACATATTAGGTCTCATCAGGACTGGCTCCATTGTCTCCCTCTGTGGCCTGGTACACATAGCTAGTATATTAAACTTTTGTTTTTCTCAGCTTTTTTTTTTCTCCATAAGCACAGCCCTTCGTATTAATTATAAACTGGATTTGATTGTCTGAATAAAAATGAGCGCTCAGTAGACCTCCATCATACCAAATGCACACTCTCATGAAAACGCTATACTGACTCTAGATTTTTGCTTCAATCCTACAGAAATGCCTGTTGGTATTTTTAAGGAAGTCATAAAATGGAAGTTTTATTTGCTTTCTGGGCAGCTGTAGCAATGTTTTTGTGGATGCTTGTCAATGACATTTCGGTTCACAGGATTTCAGGAAATGACACACAATAATAAAACACTGCATAATACACTGATGAAAGCCGTAAAATGGGTTGTTCTTAAAATATAGATCCAGAATATATTAAAAATTAAATGAAGCAGATTCGAGAAATTGGATTCACTTGCAACATTTCTACATACAGTACATACATCTAAACAGAAGCTAATGTGAAGTTCTCAAAGCTTTCTCAAACAAATTTGAGACTACCAATCCAAGATGATCCTTTTTAATAACCAATATTTGTTGGAGACATTGCATTAATTTGAGAAACAGTTTTTTGATTCTTTGTACGAATTAGCTCCCCAAATCTCCTCTGCAATCCAATGAAATAGATTCTATTGTTGTTATAATTTTCAGATGATGACAAGTAAACACACTAAGGTTCCTTGGCAGGGCTAAGAGGCTGGAAAGACATGATCTGGGTTTCTCTGCATGGCAATCTGACTCTAGAGCCGTGGTCTGCAAAGCGGTACAGGCCTCACTGTAGCTTGTACTTTTGTACCCAATACCCTACTATTTTATAGCTTCTTTTATGAACTCTGTGGAGCTTTTCTTACCTGAGAATGCGATCATTGAAGCATTAGAGAACTAAACACTTACTCTTAAAGCAAGGTCACAAGGCTTTTTTGACAAACAGTAAGAGAAGTTACAGATAGAGCTACCCAGTCAATTAAAAATAAAGTAGTCAGTGTGACTATTTTTAATGGATTTTAGCTTTAACCCAGTTACACCAGAGAATGGCAGCAGGATGAACAGATGGCGCCCTATCAGATAAAATGACAGAGCATGTGGTCAGAGAGGACACTCCTTAGCACTGACGTTTTCTGTTCCTAGCACGTCACCAGCACCTGGATCTGTGCAGCATGCCCATGACATCATCCAGAAGCACCACTGTGTGACATCATTATTGTGAAATGCAATTTAATATGCACTTAGAGAGATGTGCTAACCACACACATTTAGGACAGGGTTGTGAGTTGGCAAGATCTTTCTTATGGCCTTGATATTAAATGAATCAGAAGTTCATTTAGCTGAAGAATGTTTTCTTGGTTATAAGATACACCCATATAACAATATAGATCATGAATGTTTAATGACTGCGAGCTATGATCTTACTGAAGACGAAGAAATGGAATTACATCCCAGAATTTAATATAAATTCATTTATTCCACCTACACGATTTAAGCTGTATTGACAAAGAAACTTGAATGGCTCCCAAACTGGCACATCTCTACCTGACTTTTATAAATGCCACCAGGATGTGTTTACAAGTAGAAACACAACAAGTTAATCATCAGAAGTAGCTGCATGAGCTTTTGGATTAAGATGACAGAGGAAGACATGAGTTCACCCACATGTCTTTGAGTTCTGAGTGTTTTAGTACCAGGCTGGCTAATGCTAAATTCAGCAAATTTGGGGAAGTCATGTGTGAAGTCTGGAAGCTGCCACTGTTCTAAATGAATCATTCGCAAGGAAAGCAGCTGCCTGCTATGGTAACTGTCTTCATCTTTGGTGCATTTTCCCCACCCCCAGCCTGGATTAGTTCAACTAAAATACAGCAAGAAGTTCTGAAGCCAGATACATTAGAAAAATCTTATGAATGAGATGCAGGAAGTTTGAAATATACTTCCTATGATAAATCCGTGCTATAGGTAAATGTGTAGAAGGAAACAGTTGATGAGGATGATCAGTTTATGAAGTGCTCTGGGATCAATGTATCAAAGGAGAAGTTATATCCTTAAGTCAATTTATATGATCAATTATTTATAATGTAAAGACTGAGCTCTTGAAACTAGGTTGAAATTTTATATACATTATCATGTGATTTTAAAAAATGAAGCAATATAGATAAATGAGGCTAGAAAGTTTTCTGTTTTTATAATCTTGCAGAAATAGGTTTTTCTCACTTGGAAACCCATTCTCCTAATTCAGTGACATTGCTTTTCTTAGGGCTGCCTTTGAAGTAGGACATAGTTACAGCCCTGATTGATGCTTTCTGATCTATCATAGGGGTAGCAATTCTGTATGACCCTCCAAAGGGTCACATATGGTGAGGAAATCCTTGAAAAGTAAATGGAACATTATTAACAATTTGTGATGATCACAAGCCTCTAAAGAGATAAAGACCAGATTAAAAGCTTAGCAAGCTGGGGATTATTCGCTGTATAAAAGTAAAGGATTCTCGAAACTTCAAGTGCCCTGTCTGTTGACCCCAGTTTTTTTGTCAAAGGAAGACGACTCTTTTTAAAGCCTCATACAACATTAATTGAAAGAATAAACATCACTTTGTGTTTGGTTACTATGGAGTGTGACTACAATCCCAGAGTTACTTGGGAGATGGGACAGGAGGAAACTATGAGTTCCAGCCTTAGCAATGTGGTAAGATCCCAACCCAGAAATAACTGAATGACAATAACATGTGAATAAAATTATTCTCTTTTGTAAGGGTTATCCAATTATATGGTTCAGTGATTCAGCTAAACTGGATGTTTCTTCATGACCGATGTAAAAGATGAAGTCCAATGCATCATTATACAGTAACCATGGCTTTCTATTACACAACATATTTTATTTAGTTCTCATTTCCTATCTTCCCAACTTTTTCTGTGTGGATCTTAGGCATAGTAAAACAAGTGAATGAACATTGAGGAAGGGAGAAAGGCTTGGGGCTACGAATGTATTAGGCATAGCAGTTGCAGATGGGTAACTTGTCGGCATGTTACAATGCCTTTCTAGTAATCACTACTAGGTTGTGATGTTTGATCACAAAGAGGTTTATCTAGAAACTGTGAAGAGCAACACAAAATTTTTAAGGAGACTTAGTCTCATAGGGAATTAAGGCAGAATTTGCTTTCTGGTTTTAGTTAATTATAGCATGTTATTTGGTTCAGATTAAAACCTAACTCTTGCTATAAATTATCTGACTATTAAACATTTCAACATATTTTAAGCACTTCTGTTTTTAGAAAACATGTAAAATTTTAAGTCTTGTCAAAAACAAATGAAGTTTTTGCCTAAACCTGCCCTAGACTGGAACAAAGAGAGGCTCCTTACTTTTTATCTGTCACATGCAATCTGTGTTTTTCTGACTTGCCTTTAAGGCTCTCCTGCACCCTGCACTCGTTTCACCATTGTCATTTCTTTGCATTAACATTTGCTTATGTTTAGTTTCACTACACATGCAAGTAAAGATTATTCCCACTACAAAATTTTGCATGTGCATTCTTTCAGATTCGAAAGTCATTCCTTCCCCCTCTATCCACCCGTTAAAAATTGATTCAATTTCCAGAATGTATTCAACTTGGGTGCACTCAGTTGTAACAGCCAGCCAGTACTGTTACAGTGATGGATTCAACTGGTTGTGAATACTTCAATTCACGATTCTTTGCTACATGTGATGCCCTTGACTTTTCTAGACATGAGCATGCAGATGGAAGCATCACTTTCCACTTTGCCCTTGAGCTTCCTTGTGTACTAGGACAGGATTCTAAACACATCACCCATTTTGACACCTGTTACACACTTTGTATTCTAGTACTAAATCCATTAATGTATGAATAGTATTCTTTTTTGTTTCTGAAGCATTTTTAAAAGTAGTGTTTACTTATAGAGGGTAATGCATAAAGACACAAAGCAGATGCAGTTGTATAGAAAAAGCAGACATGTGAGTACATAA